TGTATAAAAATTGGTATTATTATATAAATACTTATGGTTTTGAACTATTATTTTCATTCTTACATCTCCCTTTGTCTAACACATTTCTCACAAACTGAAGGTCAGATTCAAATGAAACTACACATAAGTGTAGATGGTTGTGTGGAGTGATAATCAACTTCCGATTATTCTTTTTTTTCATTGGACATCAAATTTGTTCACCAGAGATTCTGATTGGCCTAAAATATAACAGACTGTTACTCCGTAACTGTTGGTCTGATTGAAATGAAACTTGGTGTGAATATTGATCACCATGTCAAGATGTGTTAAAGATATTTGTTCTTAAATTCATAATGGCTGCTGCAGTCACTGAAATTTAGATATTGTCCAATTTTGATGAATATTACTACAATAGGTGTGATTTAATGTAAGGAGCACAAAAGTGTAATAAGTTTTTCAATCGAGTAACAAACATGGCCACCACAAATATTAGAACTTTAATATTGTCATTGGTGTTTCCCAATAAGGCTCTCCCAACTCTCCTCCCGTGTATTGATAATCGCTTTATAAGTGTATCATGACACTTAAAAGCAATGTGTTGTACAGTAGTGTCTGCTCAAGACTGCTGACTGGCCATAGCTTTCATGTGTCACGCATGACTGACTCTAGTGTAACTTGCAGTAGCCAAGATAGATTAAATAGTGAATAAGAATTACTTCTATATCAATTAGCATTATCTGTGACAGCAAGGGTAGTTGTAAGGATTTATGTAATGGTCCCTGTCGCAATTAAAACTTATTTTGCATGATATGATAAAAAAAATCTAGAAATACATTTAATTACGTAAATTGGTATATATTTATGTACCTGTACATAACCTGTATCGAGATAAAACATAGTGAAAAATATTGTATCTATACTTTTAAAGATTACAGTACAGAAATTCCCTACCTCAGCAAACAGTATTATGTAACTAACAGTACAGAAATTCCCTACCCCTCGTCAAACAGTGTTATGTAGTTAACAGTACAGAAATTCCCTACCCCTCAGCAGACAGTATTATGTAGTTAACAGCCCAGAAATTCCCTACCCCTCGTCAGAAAGCATTATGTAGCTAACAGTACAGAAATTCCCTACCTCTCGTCAGACAGTGTTATGTAATTAACAGTACAGAAATTCCCTACCTCTCGTCAGACAGTGTTATGTAATTAACAGTACAGAAATTCCCAACCTCTCGTCAGACAGTGTTATGTAATTAACAATACAGAAATTCCCTATCCCTCGTCAGACAGTGTTATGTAATTAACAGTACAGAAATTTCCTACCCCTATTCACACAGTATTATGTTGATAAAAGTACAGAAATTTCCTACCCCTGGGCAGTTTTATGTAATTTACAGTACCCTCGTCAGACAGTATTATGAAGCTAACAATACAGAAACACCCTACCTTGGCATACTCATTGTGCGTGAAGTGGTTGCTACAACAATGTATATATAATCACTGTGAATTATTGATGTGCACCCACTGAAGCTTGCCATTGTTCAAGTCGTTAGGTGCATGATCTGCAGGTCACATTACTAAATTGTCTTTTGCATGTTTTTTTTACATGTATCTGCGTGAGCTAATTGTTGTCTCTCTGGTGCCCTGGTTTATGGACGAGCAGCCTCAATGCTTTCAGAGCTGCCTTTTTATTTCAAAGCATTGAAATCTGAAAAGCGCTGAAAACCACATGCAGTATGTTTTTGTCTAGGAAACCTGTTCTCTTATTACGGAAGTACTCCCACTATTTCTGTGATACGTCCTCTGTAGTCTGTAGTATATTGAATAGATATGTACAGAGCTCATAACTTTATCGAAAGTTTTCTAATAACTTTTCATTTGTAAATAACTTAATATAGGAATCAAGTATTATGCAGTAGATTCTGTTCTGAAAAGCATTCTTCAATCATTCATTTTCTGGCTGATGTGGAGAAGATGTAAATTAAAATATGAAATGTAATCCCTTCTGGTTGTTACCATTTATCCTAGCAATTCAAAATAAAAAGAAACACTGGTAACATACAAATTCTGGCTTAAAGAACAAGGAAGTAGCTTTTGTTTGTAATCCATGAAAAGATCAGCAGATATGTGTGGGCTTATGACAAGGCATAGGTTAAATGCTTTACGACTAATGGATCTTTATGGGACAAATTTGTCAGTGGTGTGTTAGGTACAAAGTTTAGCATCTTCATTCATCAATGAGTCCAATCATGGTAATAAGCCCACCTATTGCATTGCAGTTCATATTAGTTAGGAATTTATGCTATTTCATAGGCCTCTGATAAGTCAACGCGAACTTTTAGGGAGAAGTAATAAGTTTACACTTGAATTTATAGCAGGATAAATAGGGTAGTATCTAGTAGCTACCCTGACAGTAATATTAAAACATACCCTGGTACATGTATTTAACAAAGAGGATTACCAGTTATTGTCAATTACAGAAGTTGTCTCCATTAAGCTTGGTATTTGATAGTTTATGGTGTAAGAAGTTGTTAATCTTGAGCTTAGATCTTTGATGTACTATATTTTCATGAAGTTTCTTCTTTCAGCTGTAATAATGGAAAATTCGGTTAAAGTGGCCTAAACACTCAAATTTTACCGCATAAAATTATGCAAATGTATTGCAGTTGTTTGTTAGATGTTAGATATACAAATATAAGTGTAACTTGAGTGATACTGTATGGATAGTGTGGTGCAATTTGCTGTTTCATCATCCATGAAGATGAGAGAAGACAGTGAACATTTAAAAGCCAGCTGGACTGATACAGATAAAACTACAAATATGTAGCCTGGCTGTTACAGATAAACCAGCTGGGCTGTTACAGATAAAACTACAAATATGTAGCCTGGCTGTTACAGATAAACCAGCTGGAGTGATACAGATAAAACTACAAATATGTAGCCTGGCTGTTACAGATAAACCAGCTGGGCTGTTACAGATAAAACTACAAATATGTAGCCTGGCTGTTACAGATAAACCAGCTGGACTGTTACAGATAAAACTACAAATATGTAGCCTGGCTGTTACAGATAAACCAGCTGGACTGTTAAAGATAAACCAGCTGGGCTGTTCCAGATAAACCAGCTGGGTTGTTACAGATAAACCAGCTGGACTGTTACAGATAAACCAGCTGGACTGTTCCAGATAAACAAGCTGGACTGTTACAGATAAACAAGCTGGGCTGTTACAGATAAACCAGCTGGGCTGTTACAGATAAACCAGCTGGGCTGTTCCAGATAAACAAGCTGGACTGTTACAGATAAACAAGCTGGACTGTTACAGATAAACCAACTGGAATGTTACAGATAAACAAGCTGGACTGTTACAGATAAACCAGCTGGAATGTTACAGATAAACAAGCTGGGTTGTTACAGATAAACCAGCTGGAATGTTACAGATAAACTAGCTGGACTGTTACACATAAACAAGCTGGACTGTTACAGATAAATCAGCTTGGCTGTTACAGATAAACAAGCTGGACTGTTACAGATAAACAAGCTGGGCTGTTACAGATAAACAAGCTGGACTGTTACAGATAAACAAGCTGGGCTGTTACAGATAAACCAGCTGGACTGTTACAGATAAATCAGCTGGGTTTTTACATATAAACCAGCTCAAATGTTACAGATAAACCAGCTGGGCTGTTACAGATAAACCAGCTGGACTGTTACAGATAAACAAGCTGGGCTGTTACAGATAAACAAGCTGGACTGTTACAGATAAACCAGTTGGACTGTTACAGATAAATCAGCTGGGTTGTTACAGATAAACCAGCTGGATTGTTACAGATAAACCAGCTGGACTGTTACAGATAAATCAGCTGGACTGTTACAGATAAATCAGCTGGGTTGTTACAGATAAACCAGCTGGACTGTTCCAGATAAACCAGCTGGGCTGTTCCAGATAAACAAGCTGGGCTGTTACAGATAAACCAGCTGGGCTGTTACAGATAAACCAGCTGGGTTGTTACAGATAAACCAGCTGGACTGTTCCAGATAAACCAGCTGGGCTTTTCGAGATAAACTAACTGGTCTGTTACAGAGAACTTACATCTTGCATGTTGCAGAGCTCTTCATGTTAATTGTATCTATCAACATTTAGTCCTTGTCTGGTGATAAGCCCACTCATATATACGTTGATGTTTGGTAAAATTATTTACCAGTGTTACGATTTCATTGTCCTATAATAAGCCCATCCCTGAAGTTGAAATGTAAAAGTCAATTGTTGATCCCCTGGGCTTATTGGAGGATAGATAAGGTAACCTGGACAAATACATGCAGCTTATCTTACGGGGTGATTTCCTTGTCTCATGCTAGAGTTGAGACAGGGAATTTTCCTGTCAGGATAAGACGGAATTTCTCTGTCAGGACAGTGACATGGCGTCCCAGTAACAATTCACTGACGTCACATCAATAATTAAATCACATCAATAATGCAAAGCATTGGGACGACGAAAACGCATACGAGTACCTAATAAAGCTAGCCTCGGGAAAAGATGTTTATGTTGCCAACTCTTGTGTTTGCCATCTTAATCATCTTTCCCCTCGGGTTGAGATCGGTTATTTTACCTCCAATGTCGTGAAACATTATGTTATTCTCTAACTGGAGACAACAGCAGATTGGTGTTGGGCGAAGTTTTGGTATTTTACAACATTTGATATATTATAACCAATAATTTAGTGTGTAATTAGGGAGATCTTTCTTCTTTCAAAGATAGAACCTTCTTGTAAATTTTGTTTTATTTTTAAGACAGTTGACTTAGATGGACTGTTAAACATAATAATAACTAGTAGGGTCTTTAGTAGTGTAGCATTATCTCAAATTATTACACATCAAGAGGGGGCAAGGTGGGGAAAAAAAGTCAGATGATATAAGATCACAGATCGACATTAAATGTCATAAGGATCAATACAGAACTGTTTCATTATTGTACCAAGCACCTAAATTTACAAAAACAAATCCAATTTTATCTTTTTCAGTGTGAAGTTTGCATCACGGCTTATAAAGCATACCACATCCATTCCCCAAACCAGGAATGGCTCTCACTCTGTTCCAAACATCCTCTACGGAAAGTGGAATAATCTACCCAAGAAAGTCCAAGCCTACGTGGACCATAATGTGCGACTATGCCAGCCTTCTTCAATCCACATCTGTGACGGATCGGATAGTGAGAACAACCTTCTCCTGTACCTCCTCCAGAGGGATGGTATGATCAAACCACTCCACAAGATGGAAAATTGGTGAGTTTCATGACCTGATCCGTCCAACTTTTTATATATTTCAAGAATATTTATTTTGATCACTGTTTGCGAGTAATTATTGCCTATTTTCAAATTTGAATCTAAAGATGTGATATTTATATATATTTTAATTTTTTATATAAATTATTGATTTGGCGAAATAGGACTGATCAGCTGCCACCAGATTAGAATCATCAGATAACATTTAATTAGCATTAACAACAGATGTTCAAAAATTTTATAAATCTATTCTGATATTAAAATGTTTCGAGCAAACAGTCTAAGTTCTGCTTTTAGAGTTTTGTGATGAATTACTCATAAATATTTCTTGGAGAATACATTATCAAGTCACCAAATCACCTCAAAACAAAATTATCACCAGATTCAATTCTTATTGTCGTAATTTATTTCCTGTGAAAAGGTTCAGGGGTCAACTGCCTGACATGCTTACATCTGGGCCAATAAGGGTTTGGAATTCAAATAAATAGTTTTGTACTTGTTGTAAAACAAATGAAGTTTATGTTGAATTTCTGTATCATATTTATTAAATTTATTAGTATACCATGTGATCAGTCTTTGTGTATATGTAATGAAGAGTTATCTCCCTTATAGTTGGCTAGCAAGGACTGATCCTGCTGATGTTGCTCGCGTAGAGAAGCTGACGTTCATGTCAACAGAAAATGAGCGTGACACAATTCCAGTCCGTAAGGAAGGGATTTCCGGTACATTGGGAAACTGGATTAGTCCGAATGACCTAGAAGAGGAAATGGAGGAAAGGTTCCCTGGTTGTATGAGTGGTAGGTGACTCTATAACATGTCTTCTACTAGTGATATCATAGATGTAGCACTATTCAAATTTATTTTCTAATAAATCAGCCTGTAATTTGTCATTCTATGCATCACATTGTTAAGAGTATGTCTCATATACTGTGTAGCCATGAATGAAAGCCTTAATTAACAGGGAGTAATTGAACGCTGTACTTACAGTCTATGGAACCTTTAGGGGTATTGTGTTTAATAAATGCCACTTCAATTTTGTTGATCTTGTATCATTTTATCGGAAATAAATATTTAAAATGAAAACTCCTACCACAGGAAGGACCATGTATGTGATCCCATTCAGTATGGGGCCGATTGGCTCACCTCTCTCCAAGATTGGCATAGAGTTGACAGACTCAGCATATGTTGTGGCTAGCATGAGGATCATGACTCGTATGGGTGCCAAGGTGCTACAGACGCTGGGTGACGACGACTTTGTCAAGTGTCTGCATTCAGTAGGCAGGCCTCTCCCCATTTCAGGTAAGCCTGCATATTGCTTCTTTCTCATCAACTTTAAGAATAGAGAAAAACTTTCTTTTATTGAATAAAAGAGTTGTATGATTTCCTTCCTCGACACAGACAAATTCTTGAACATGAAAAATATTTGGAGTATAAACCTTTGACTTTTCAGTGACATATTTCCTCTGTAATATGAGGACATCAAAAATACAGGTACATGCATGCATTATCTTAAAATGACAAGTTGACAGAAAAAGAAGAGTTTAAGCTGATATTGAATTAGAATCTTTTTCACAGTTCAATAGAAAAAAAAACACCACTGTGACAAGTGAATGCCTAACTATTTAAAATTTATATTTATATATAAGTTTATTTTCCCTAAAGCATCACATTATTTTTTAAAAGGGACATGACATAAATGTTAGATTTTATACATATTGTTTTCCTCTACTTTTTCTAGAGCCTTTAAAAAACAACTGGCCTTGTGACCCTAAGAAAACCATTATTGCTCACTTACCAGCCAAGAATGAGATCTGTTCTTTTGGCAGCGGATATGGTGGAAATTCACTCCTGGGCAAAAAATGTTTTGCTTTACGTCTTGGCTCTATACTTGCCAAAAGAGAAGGCTGGCTTGCTGAACATATGTTGGTGGGTACTGTTAGTTTGTTTTTGTATTACATATTAGACAAATTTCATATTAAACATATTAAAAAACAGGAATTCCAGTTTGTAATTTCAAAGAATCTTTACTACCAGTGTTTTGGTACAAGTTTGTAAAATATGGAAATTAAATATTTTGGGAAATGGATGTTTTGATTACTTTTTTTGTTTTATAGATCCTTGGGATTGAGAACCCTAAGGGAGAGAAGAAATATATCGCTGCAGCATTCCCGAGTGCCTGTGGTAAAACCAACCTCGCTATGATGAATCCCTCCCTCCCAGGTTACAAAATCACATGTGTTGGTGATGATATAGCATGGATGAGGTTCGACAAAGATGGCCGCCTTAGAGCTATTAATCCAGAGGCAGGATTCTTCGGTGTGGCACCAGGTACAATTTGTCGAAGATTTTCCAATTTTTTTTACCTTAATGATATAGGTATGATAAGTAAAGATGACTTAGTAGAAATGCAAAGAATCACGATATAGTTATAAATCTGTCTACTTAATTAGTATTTGTAGAAAAGACTTCCCAGCTGCTGTCATATTTGAAGTTAATGATGAAGATCAACATAAATATTTCTATACTGCAGTATTGCATGTTCATTCTATGATTCATTATTGTTGAATTATTCTTTTCCTTACCTAGTGTTTTTGAGAAACCAGCATTATTCAGTCATATACTGTTAGAGTTATACATACTGAGCTGATAAGACTTTATTTTATCAACGTAGTAAAATAGATTTCTATGAAGGTGACTACCTTTTTTTAATATTTTCAAACTTTCTTTTCAATTTATTAATATATTGATTACAGGAACCTCAATGAAAACAAACCCAAATGCCATGGAGACAATCCAAAGCAATACTGTGTTTACAAATGTAGCAGAGACTTCTGATGGTGGTGTATTCTGGGAAGGTATGGAAAATGAAACAGACGATGGAACTTCTGTTACCTCATGGCTCAATGTGAAGGATTGGACACCAATGGATGGAGGAAATGCTGCTCACCCTAACTCCAGGTACTGTTATTTGTCAGGATTGACTTCTTAACTGAGTTTATTTCCCTGTCAGAAGGTCATTTTAAGATAGGGTTTTCTAGTAGTAAGTGATGACTACCTCACTGATCAATATACAACAGGTCAATCACAGGCAATTTATGTAAAGTGTCTGTCTCAAGGACACAGTCAAGGTCATGATCTCAGCTTCCTTAGAAACACTTAACGGGCCTAGACAAGATTGAACCTATAGTACATTAGTCAGATGCTCTACAGATAAGCTGTTGCTGCCCCTACTTAAATGCTCTACAGACTAAGCTTATGCACCCCCGTAATTAACTAGAATTACTTGAATTGTTCGGATTTAATTATTTCGTTTTGGTTTGACTTTCTCATCCTTGTTTTATCAGAGTCTCCAGTTTTTCTTGAGGGTACTACTTGATATAAAACACATTGACAAATTAATATTATTCTGATTCCTCCCATATCCATTGTTTGCATTTTTAGTTTCACAAAACGTTTTCTAAACTATAGCAAATAAAGCCTGTTGTTTCACCAATGTTGGCTTCCTTCCTCGGTGTTAAATAACAGTTAGACAGGAACATAACCAGACGAGTTGTTTCATTCCCTGTCACAATAACCACAGATACTGTTATGTACAAGTCTATTAATATCTAATGCATCAAACGAAGCAATCATTCACTACAATACATTTGGACTTTAATGATGAAGCTTGTTAACCAATGATAACCACATGTTCTGTAGGTTCTGTACACCTGCTGCCCAGTGCCCTATCATGGACCCTGCCTGGGAGAGCCCTGAGGGAGTCCCTATTGATGCCATCATATTTGGAGGAAGACGTCCTGAGGGTAAGTAAAAAAACCTGATTTCTATACGATTAATTATCAGTAAGGTTTAAATTGAAAATGAATTTTGGAATCATTACATTATTCTTAATATATTGTTTGCTAGGATTAAATGTGTATTAAATTGTGTTCGTTCACAAGTTTGAAATCAAAAGAGTGAAATTGTTAGCAATTATGACATCACTGTTTCATAAGATTTAGAATATGTACATATCTTTCTTCAAAAACTTAATATTGATGTAGTCAGAAGTGATGTGTGAGCATTTTGGACTCACTGAATATGAAACATGGTTCCAAGCATGTTTTATTTATACACCAAATATTTCTTAAGGTAATTTATATAAGGAGTAATGAAAAGTGTATGTGTGTTCCAGGTGTACCACTTGTGTATGAAGCATTGAGTTGGCAGCATGGTGTGTACATTGGTGCCTCTATGAGGTCAGAGGCTACAGCTGCTGCAGAGCATAAAAGTAAGTACCATTGTGAATATTCATAAAAACATACCATTGTAAATATTCATAAAAACAAATACCATGGTGAATATTCATAAAAGTAAGTATCTTTGTGAATATTCATAAAAACATACCATTGTGAATATTCATAAAAACATACCATTGTGAATATTCATAAAAGTAAGTACCATTGTGAATATTCATAAAAACAAGTACCATTGTGAATATTCATAAAAGTAAATACCATTGTAAATATTCATAAAAGTAAGTACCATTGTGAATATTCATAAAAACATACCATTGTAAATATTCATAAAAGTAAGTATCTTTGTGAATATTCATAAAAGTAAATATCTTTTTGAATATTCATAAAAACAAATACCATTGTGAATATTCATAAAAACAAGTACCATTGTGAATATTCATAAAAGTAAATATCTTTTTGAATATTCATAAAAGTAAATATCTTTGTGAATATTCATAAAAGTAAATATCTTTTTGAATATTCATAAAAACATACCATTGTAAATATTCATAAAAACAAGTACCATTGTGAATATTCATAAAAGTAAGTATCTTTGTGAATATTCATAAAAACATACCATTGTGAATATTCATAAAAGTAAGTACCATTGTGAATATTCATAAAAACAAATACCATGGTGAATATTCATAAAAGTAAGTATCTTTGTGAATATTCATAAAAGTAAGTACCATTGTGAATATTCATAAAAACAAATACCATTGTGAATATTCATAAAAGTAAGTATCTTTGTGAATATTCATAAAAACAAATACCATGGTGAATATTCATAAAAGTAAGTATCTTTGTGAATATTCATAAAAGTAAATATCTTTTTGAATATTCATAAAAACAAATACCATGGTGAATATTCATAAAAGTAAATATCTTTGTGAATATTCATAAAAGTAAATATCTTTTTGAATATTCATAAAAGTACCGGTAAGTATCTTTGTGAAGATAAAGTGTAATTTGTTTTAAAATAAAAGTAACATAAGTCTGATAAGTCACATTGATAATATATCATATTTCTGAAGATTGTCATGATAAGAAATGTAGGCTTTATGGGAAATCATTTTTATTATGATCTTTGAAAAGTCAGCTGTGTTATACAATCAATTAATTTTACACCAATGTTAAAAATAATAAGAAATAACATTCAAAACATTTGCAAATAGATATATTCAGGTCAAATTTTCTTTGAAAAAAATGGCTGAAGTTGTTGAACTTATTTCTTTTAAATTTTTCAATGCTCTAAAATTAATCATGCTTGAGATGCAGCATCTGTTTTGTTTTCATTTTCAAAGTTGTCAGGAAAATATGCTCTATTTCAAAGTGTTGAAAACTACCTTAAAACCTTTATGTTGAAACATTTCAACCAAAATAGTTTCCATACGTAGACAAATTTTGATAAGTATGATAGTTTCTTTCATGGTTTCTAAATATATTTTTCATTTTACAGGCAAAGTCATAATGCACGATCCCTTTGCCATGCGGCCATTCTTTGGATACAACTTTGGTCACTATCTGCAGCACTGGTTAAGTTTCCAGGAAAAACCTGGCCTCCAACTGCCAAAAATCTACCATGTCAACTGGTTCAGGAAGAACAAAGAGGGCAAGTTTATCTGGCCGGGATTCGGGGAAAATGCACGAGTGTTGGACTGGATCTTCCGTCGTATTGATGGAGAGGACTGTGCCAAGATGTCTGCTGTAGGTTACATCCCAAAAGAGGGGTCAATTAATATGGAAGGTTTGAATGAAAAAGTAGATATGGAGGAATTATTTCACCTTCCAAAGGACAGCTGGCTGCAGGAAGTTGTGGATGTTAAGAAATACTTTGACGAGCAAGTACACGAAGACCTTCCTGCAGAAATCACAACAGAACTACAGAGTCTAGAAAAGCGAGTGAAATCTATGTTGTAAAGGCTGTCTTCATTTAGGTCTTGTTACACAATATTTTTACAAATCAATATGCTGTGGTTTATAGTACTCTGGACTTTTGTATTGAAGTCTATAAACTACGAAGCAAAACAGTGGCCTACTTAGTGTTACTGTATCATGGTGTCATTATAATGTGGAGTGTGGTTGATGACTAACAGAAGTTATTATATGGTTTATGAGTAGGATTTCATCGTCCTTTTGTAAGGGTTATTAAGATATAGTGTTAGAGTACTCAGGGCATTTCCATGTACAGAATGTCATAATGCACAAATATTGTAATATACAGGGTGACATAATATACAGGGTTTCATATAACACAAAGTATTCAAATCAATTAATGGCCTTTATCAGTTTACACCCTTAAGTAAATTCAACCCGTTTGTAAAAGTTTTGCCTATTTCATTTATTATTGAAAAGCCAAAATTGCATGATAACTGCTGATTATATTGTGTTTTAAACTTTTTCAGTATAGTTTTATAATTATTCATGATGAGGGAGATAAAATACAATTTCATTCTTAAGTGAACGAGTAACGAAATCTTTTTTGTAGTATTTTTAGTCATAAAGGAATTTTATTTACTTTCATTTAAAAAGAATTTACTTTTTTGGCTCCACATGTTCTGTGCATTGTAGTAAATCTGTATATGATGTGGTTTTAGCTTAATTAATGTCAGTGTTAATCAATTTAGAATTGCATGAACCTAATTAATTATCAATATTATAAATATCTATTCCATTATATTTCAGAAAATATATTATCAATTTTAAATATTGCTTAAAAAAAATACAACAAGGGAGATAACCATGCTTGTTGACATCAGGAGAATTTACATATGGCTGACCATGTAACAAATGCAATTTGTTCTGTACCTCAGCTATATTTTTTGTTTTCAAATTTTGCAATCAAGTCATGAAATTCACTCCAATTTTCAAACTTTGTCATTCTCAAATGATATTTTTTTAAAATGTATTTTTGTATTCAAATAATTGTACCAATGGAGAGAAAAATTATAAAAATGAAATATATGGATAAATTTGAAATGGATAAAAGATGTGTGACTGTATTGATTTATATGTTTAATGTTGTACACATTTAATCTAATTTTTTAGAAATTTATAAACACTTTCAATATGTGATGTTTGTTTTTATAATTATCTTATATGCTAGAATTTTTAAATCTCCATTATTATTTTTTTCATTAAATTACCAGTGCATATTCCTATTTTTCAATTTCTTAATGCACTTTTTTGTTATTGCAAAGTCTTAATAAAAATTTCATGTTTTCATAAAATTTGTCAAATTAAAATTTCATTTTTCATAAAGTGTTCTTCATATTTGTTAAACAGAGAATATATTTTTCATTCAAGATTTGTTCTATTTATTGTCAGTCATGGTTTTAGTGTTAGATATATCTTAAACATTCCCTTTTGTACTCTCTACTTTTAAGTTGATATATTTTACTGGGAATTTGGTAACAAATCCACAATCTTATAATTTTGTTATTTATTTTGTTATACATGATACAAGTTGGTATTACTGATAGATTTTTTAATTACCTTTTCATATCATGTTCATTCTATTGTTTTCATTGTTGAAAAGTAAACAAATTTTACACATTTCAGGTGTGTTTCATGTAAATGTTATGGTTTTAAAACGACTAAAAATAGATTTCTGACATGTTGGAAATCTTATGTATGATACTTGCTCTTGTGTAGCAGAATATTTCTTAAATAATGAGTGTAGACCAAAGTTTCTAAATTAAGAATTTCCTTAAATTTAAGTGACACCTACATTTTATAAAGTTAAATAGGCCACTGAATTGTCTTTTAAAATCTTAATGATGATCATGAAAACACTCTAGCCATGATTTTACGATCATAAAAATTCATGGTTTTCTGTGTTCTTGCATTATTTCATTTTGCATGTTTTAAAGATATTCTTTTAATGAAAGTTTATATTACCGTAATTTCAGAGAGACACTCTCTGGATCTAATCTGAGGGAAAAGAAGTATTCCCAAAATTCCAGTCATGTCAACCAAATCTAAACACATTGTTTTTTTTTCTCTATTTTTTATGAATACCCGGTATTTTGTTATCTGCTGTCCAGTATTTGTCTGAAAGTTTTATTTTTCTCAATGTTAGAAATAGAAAACATTATATGTTGATTAGTTTATAATTGTTTATTATTTTAATTATTCTAATTATACAATCATTTATGTGATTTTTGTAAAAGTTGTATCAATTATGCAAGGAAAGATCATTGTTGGATGACTGTGTAAGGTAAATATTATTTTGTAATTTGAGTGGATAGCACCACATGTTTGACTGTTGTGATGATAAAAAGGATGAAATCCAATTACTAGACTAATTGTTTATATTATCCAATTAATTACTGATAAATATGTTAAGATCACAGAATAATATAATGTGTTCATGTGTGAGCTACACTATTTAGTAAAAAAATCAAGAACATTCTGATTTGATAAACTCATTTATTTAGCTGAAATAATATTTTCACTTAACAAGTATTGCATTTGTATTCAATAATGCGAATATCTAACACCCACATTGCCATATTTGCCATAAAGCTCTTTGTTGTTAATATCATTTTCAAGCCAACAGGTTTTTCTGTGATTAAATTACATGTATATAAAAATTCTAAAAGAAACTATCTTTAGTGTAGTACATATATTCTTGTAATTTTGTTTTGTGTTCTGAAATTTATCTTAAAAACAATTATAAGTTAGACATATATTTTCAGTTAATCATATGTTAAGTTCTACTATACATTTATGGCATGCGTTCAGCTGTTAAGACTGTAGGCTATGATCTGAGGTTTTCTATTAAGGTTGGAGTTATCTCCCTTTCTTTTACTATGATTTGTCAAAATATATTATAGATGAGAGTGAAGGAGTGTGTGGGTGTGTCTGAGGGTACTTTGTAGATAAGGATGATTCAGAATCAGTTGGTCTTAAACCGTGTACATTCTATTATGTTTAAATGTGCAAAAATATGCAAAATAATCTAATGTTTTATAAGTAAAATTTTTTGTGAAACTGTTTCAATTGGAGAAGGTTTATTGGACGCAGTCATTTTATTAATTTTGATTGAATGGATATTTTGTGCAATTTGATGTTTTAAATGTGATTATTATTTCCAGTTTAAAATTGTGATTACTTTAATTTAAATCTACTCTTAACTGCCGTATAAATTTTGTTTTTAGATTTATTCTATTTGTTTTGGCAATTGCTTCTGTGAACGTAGTTTAATGTGTATAGTTTGTGATCCCTGTTAAATCAAGGACTTGTATAGGTGTTTGTTTACATAATACTGTACCTCTAAAGCTGTCAATATATGTTAAGAACCACCAGTGTAATATCCATGAAGAATAATATTCTGAGCAGAGAAATGACACTGAAAAAAGACACAACAATTATTTTGGTTTATAAAATTTTGTTAATTTGTCGATGAAAAGACAAATATGACAACAGTCAGACTTGTATTTAATAATTATGTCTGAGAATTTTGGAGTTTTTAAAAATCTATTGTGGTTCTTAACAATTTATATATGGTCAGATTGTTCTGAAACAAGCTGTACAGTTCTTTCCAAAATCATGTGATAAGAATTCAATTTCCAAAAGTTTAAATTTGTGCAATGATCTAGTGGTCACAAGAATGCAAAAACTAATCCTACATTTCATTTGAAGGGAGATAGGATTATTCTGGAGTGTTGGCCATCTTGAGTCGAGGGATCTCTGTTAAAGGTAGCAATTGCAATAGAACTATATTGAGGTATTGAGGTATTTTATATATGCTTATTTTGATGGAGTCACTTTAAACAGAAAAAAAAATTAAAAACAATTTTTAGAAAATATTCTGCTTTTTTGGTTTATTTTGCTGATACCCTCTCTCCATACAAACTAAAGCTTTGGATGTAGGACCAAAATGGTTACACTCTGCCATTACATCCTAAGTTCATCCATGACTACAGTCAAACTTAAGAAGTCAATGCTGGATAAAGGATTTGAAAGGATTAAAATTGTGACATCAACCTTCAACATAAGGACAGAGAAATAACACTAGATACTGACTTACCTTCAGACAGCAAAACATATTGTTGCCAAACCATTTTATTTGAACTCCATGATGTGACTGTGGTCTTGTCACCTTTAAAGGGTAAGACGACAATCTTCCAATGGTTGAATGGACTGCCAAAGGAGTGACTGAATACCTTAAATTTTGGAGGAATGTAGAATGTACCCAAATTTTTGGTGTTGAATTGGGGTTATTAATTTTGATTTCATTCCAAGTGTTAGGAAGTGTCAATAGCTTATGGCATGGTGAAGGATTGTTATCCATTAATTGAAACATCTTTTTAGATAACTATAAACAAGGAGTTCCTGATACAAGTATATGACTATTAGGTTTATAGGATAAAATAGTACAACTTTTTCATAATTATTTTTGTGTTAACAAGGCTTACCTCTGATAAAAACATTAGATACTATTCTGCTCAAGTTCAAGATGAAACAGAGCTCTGATATTTTGCCGGCAGGTACCTAAGGTGATCTGCTTTGCAATTTCTTCACTTAAATTACCTTGACCCCATTTATGTTAAAGAGGTTAAATATGCATAAAATTGAAAATTTCTCAAAAATCAGAAGTCTCTTGGTGGTGAAAGCTTACAGAAAGGTACCTGGAATTAAGTTTTCTCTAATTAATTATATATCATCCAGGGGTGCTTTGGCATCGCGAACCCATATAATGGAAACTGATTGTAGGTGTTTCGTGAAGGTTCTATCTACGATAAAGTGGCGTGGCACTAAGAGGAGAGCCAGACACTATACTACAGTGTACCTCTGTTTTGTAGGTGTCCATTTTCCATGTTTATCCTCGGTTAATTATTTCCATTTAATTCAGTATTAATGTAAGTTACCCTGTAAAATCTATATGCAACCTTCGAATTTTCGAATGGTGAAAACCGCCTAAGAGAAACAATGAGAAACGCCAAACCAAAGTAAACTTTGTCAGGTTTTCGTCTTTTCGTTTTGGCGCTTTGTCTGATTTTTATGATGGTTTCTGGTGATTACCAAGACTTCGTTTAGGATTCGCTTAGATTGAAATACGCGTTCTGTGTTCTGTACATGTCAGCTAGTTTATCATAAGGTCACTTAGTCATGGATAGTACATTTCGTTTGTTATACTGAGCTAACTGCATAATGTGAACTCATTTATGTCGGTTATAAAGCAGAGAATGGGCTGGCACGAGGACCGAGATTTAGGGAAAGTCTGATCACATTTCGCTGAGTAAAGTGTCAAGATCTTCCAACAGACCATTGGCATACTCATCAGAACTATATATGTCTATCTTTTGGCTGGTGTGTTTTCATACGAGGCTGAACTTAACAGGCAAGTCAAAAATGGCTTCCAAATCCTTCTTTTTCACTGTTAGATGATCCATTTCTAGATATCAACACCACTTCTTTTCCGTCCACTGGTGTTTTCACGTCGCAGTCTGATATCCAAGGACTAGTTATTGTCAAGTATTCCGTGAAAGATGTCACAGATGGTTTCGAGAGATACAATTTAATGAATACTACCAGAACTTTTACGTTCGACGCAATGATAGCTTTTGGAAAATATTATATTCCATGTAACGTACTCCAATCTAAACTCTGTTCCACGAACTGGTTTTAGCCTGTGACAGACAAAAAATTAACCCTGTCCACCACACATATTTTCCTTAGCTTATACTACGGTGTGATTTACTCATTTGTTAGTAAAACCTCAGGCTAAATACGATGAAAAAAGACAAAACCGAACACTCAAACTTCATCCATCCTTGAATCGCATGGACCTCTGAGTTACAAGAATCACACGCGAAAAAAACCTCATTTGATTCTTGGTTTTTTCCCCTCATCTTCGTTTATTTATTTTCAATGTTGCAGATCCTTATATATAGCGGTATAGTAACAACATTACACACATGCTATTAAACATCGTTATTAAGAATACAGTGATTGCAGCATTTTCTATTTTCCCTCTGATGGTGCTATAACGATATGATCATGTACCGTGATGGTAGTAGAGACCCCAGATGGTGCCGTAAGGTTGTGAACATTTACTGTGATGGTAGTAGAGACCCCAGATGGTGCCGTAAGGTTGTGAACATTTACTGTGATGGTAGTAGAGACCCCAGATGGTGCCGTAAGGTTGTGAACATTTACTGTGATGATAGGAAAGACCTATAATAATTTATGTCTTTTCAATGATGAAAGACGAAACTAAAATGATATATTTTTTTCTTTTTTTTTTTTTTTAAGTACTGACGTTGACGTGTGTTCGATACCCTTTTCTTGCTTCCTTTTGTGGAGTTGTCAACGAGGGCTTGCGATGTTTCGGTTACAACTTTCCCGTATATCACAGGGCCCGAAACTCACCTTGCAATGATATAATGTCCCACAGAAGGTAGGGCGTTATAACAGGTAAATCGTCCTACCTGTCTGGAATCCCAGCTGACATCTGTCACAGCTAAGTTAAGTGATTGAAGGGCGACGAGCAAGGCTTCATGGAATATTTCATCCAGGTAACTGGAGACATTACAGCATGGTATCACTCCACGGGAGATACCAGGTGATACAACACATTTACTCGGAAAACAATGCATGACGTCACAAAAAAATACTTTCTTTAAATTTTCTGCCAATACATTTATGACTACAAATGTTTATAGGTTTTGTCCACGGTTCCCGTCCCTTCGATGAGTAAACCGAGGGAAAATAGCTCTGACAGTTCATAATTTGTGAAACTGCAACATCACGTTTTAAATGTTACACTACCACTAATGGGAATGACCTTATTTTCTATGTTGTTTTCTGTAAAAATCACCTCCATTTTTTTACTTTGTAGTAGAAATGATACAAACACTTTATGTTTGTTTCCATAAGATATTTGAAGATAATTTGCTAAATTAAACTTAAAGACAAAAATAAATGAATGCTCATTAATTCGGTGTGGCTGTTGTATAAATATTTAATGTCGAATTTCGTTGGTGTTTTGATATTTTGAAACAGAACGACCAGATTTATTTTTACAAACCCTGCAAACAAAGTACTGTGAAAGGGAAATTATTTTTGACATTTCTCCTTTGTCAAAGATTCACAAAGTACCGTTTTACTTTTCATAAATAGAAAGAACAGAGTAAAATTATAACCAATGAAGATTATGGTCGTTGGGAATAATTTACTAAATCGGATTTTATAACATAGGTAAAATAAGAACATTTTTCTATAATTGGAAAAAAACACAGGAAAAACGTCAGTTTAGTTAGATACATCTCCATGACTAACACGTATTGGTCTGTTTCTTTGATCTCGGAATAAGTTACGAAACATGTGGAATTCATTATTTAAATTCACTCCGACTTCTATTCATTCTATGACTGCGTTCTTGACAAGATTGGTTGAAATTAAAACATACTTTTGAAAGAAACACATTCATCAGAACTTTCTTAAGGATGATAATTTAAAATGAAACAGTTCTTGTGCATGCCAATCTCTGTCTAAATCTTAGAATGTCGTAGAAACGATAGTATGTCTTTGTTTATGACAAGATATATCAGACAGAGGAGTGTCTATTGACTAATTAGTATAAACAATATCGAGAGCATTAAAGTATTGTGTGTCACAAACAGCATGTGTGATTATCCTTGAACGATGAAATTGTTCACAGAACATATTGTTAACTTCTGTCCCATCGATTACTTTACATTAAAGTAAGTGTTGTGGATGTCCTCTAAGAATACTGCTAAGAGACAAGACATTGTTAACATACATAGAAAACTCTACACTCCACATACAAAAATATCTTTGTCACATCTTCTAATGGGTGACGCCTTGAGTAGTGAAAACAAAGAACAGCACGTGGTCCCATTGAGATATCTACTCCTCTCCTGCGTAGTTTGTTAATTTTTATAAGGTTCCAAATATGATCGTCACTTTAAAATTTTGTGTAGCGGTCATCTGTGCATGGACAGTGACTGGTCATCCGGCCAAATGGTCTCAAACTAACCAACTTTCGGAAAAAGAATACCAACTAGAAAATATTGCATTTTCACCGGATAATTTTGATGGTATGGACAAACAGGGTATGATTTGGTCCGGTTTTGGACAGTCCCGACCAGGAAAGGATTTTGTATACAATATAGTGGAGAATTCGGACAGACGCGGAACACGGCAGAAGAGAGCTGTCCGAAAGTCTACGGAACCACTGAAAAAGTCCCACCGAGGTAAAGGAACTTCTCGACACAGCGGAACAACCAGCAGAAAAGATGAACGGAAACAGTCAGTTCACAACAGACCCAATATGTTACCCGATCATACAAATGACGAGATGTTTAAACAGTCTCTTCGACATGTTCTCATCCTAGGCTCAAAGAAGCCCGCTCCCACGGGAAAACAGGTCAGGAAATATACAAAAATTTATATGTCTAATGCTTGTTTTGTTTATTCACTTTTCTTGAGCAATGATTGTTATTGTTGTTATTTTAATTTATTTGTTTGTTTGCTTGAACTTCCTTAGAGTTTCTGTCTATATATTTATGTATTATTGTAACTAAAGCACGTGTTATTAATTTAAGAGAGAGAGAGCAATTCACTTCTGGACAAAGTCAAGTGGTGTGGATCTAAACTATATTTATAACATTTATCATATTCATAATATATCATATATTACATTTATCATGAGCTTAAGAAGCAGGAAAATTAATTAAGTCTAAGTTAAGCTTTACATTAAAAAACAACTTTCTGAAGCGTGATTCATTGAGTTTTTTAGAGTAAAACATATTCATTGTCCCAAATTTAAGCAGAGGATTAGGCACAATTTATTTCAACTTATGACCGCCATTAAGTTACATACCATGTGCGAATTAAGCGTTAATGTCTGGGCAGCTTTTCGAAATGTCTCAAGTTCATTAAATGATGGTAAAGGTGTACATCTAAACATAACTTGTACACACGACCGTAACTCATGTGTGTCGAGATCGTGATACCACATACACTCGTCATAGAAAATGTCTTCGCGTCTTTTTGTACTCTCTATGTAATTTATCTCGTAAAAGAAAACGCATGACATCACATGATTACATTATAACGACTATTGTCAAGCCACTTCGGTCAGAGGTGCATCGTAAAATGAAATTACCTACGAGATGAAGTTGTAATTATGACATCCCTAGCTGAAGACTTCTCCAGGCAAGGCTACATTGTACATAGGGACTCTATATTGTTATAGAATGAAAGCACTACCAAAGATTGGGCTCTTTTGATGAGAAATAGAATTTTCCCAGTAGCCAGTACCATCATAATACTTCACTGTAGTATATCAAAGATTGATTATTTTTCGATGCAAAAATGGCAATGAATATATATTTTAAATATTTTCTCATTTTCCGTCTTCTAGTTACAGATCGGTAGAAGTGAGAAAACGCCCAAACGTTCCAACAGAGGTAGCTTTTCCATTGTTCCCGACAAACCAAAGCCCAGACGATATCCTTTAAGGCAAGGCTGGAGGTCAAGGATAAGGTCAAGAGGAAGGGCAAGGTCAAGGTCGGCATCACGCAAATCTAAGCAAAAGAGGGTTATAAGGAAAACTGTTCGCAGAGGATTTGTAGTCCTGGACTAAAATGTGGCTTGCACGCTCTTTTATATTTAGAGACAAAACGGCAAATTTTGAAGATAAAATATTGTACAAGTGGAACCCATAATCCTACAAGTGAGCTGACGTGTTTTTGTAAAGTGGCTTATTGCTTAATAAATCGTGTAGATGAGACACCAATTAATATCAGATTCTTAATTAAGGGAGTGTACGAGAGAAACCATCACGTGAATGATTGATTACTGTATAGGGACACCTGTCATATGCTGTTTTGAAAGCTTTCAGTCAAAATACGTTAATATGAATGTCGCCCATAAACAGAATGCTACATGTACTTACCAGTATGTATCCACACACATAGGTAATAGTTTGCTCGTCTAATGTAGAACGTATTTTATGTAAATTAATATTTCAGATTTTTTTCGAAAATTTATTTTATTGTTTTCAAATTGATGTCTTACATACTGTGACGTATGACATCAAGTGGAAAACCACACGCGTCTTTCCGTTTTTCTTTAGTGTTTGTTATTATGTATATAGCGGCCAAAGATAGACAAAATGACAAAGGCAAGGATATGTGTCTGATTGTAAATATTGATGTCCTGGAATGTGACAGTTTTGAGTAGCATGTGATTGAAACAACAAGGAAATTGATATTGGATTGGGTATGTTAATACTACAGGGACTTGAGAATTCGATACACTCTAGGAACATATTGGATTATCACGATCTGTTTCGAAGTTTGTTTCAAATGACACTATAGAAAGGTTGTATAACACGAATTATAAAGTTATTTCAACATCAATATCCATAATCATCGGACCTGTAAATTATCTCCCCTTTTTACTCTTGTGACACCATGAATAATAATTACATCCCTTGTCTGAAGTCCCCCTAAAGCTGGATTTTTAAATCGTATTTTTCACGAAACATCACTGATGTACATGTTACCCACACACACCAAGTTATGCACTAGCGCTCATTTTTTGACGAATCCTTCTAAAGTTTCAATCCAAATTTTGAGGTGCATTGAAAGTAAAGCAAACACTCACAGAAAATTGCGCATCTGCTTTTTTTTCTATTCGCTTATTTTTATGAAAAATGTTTTCCTTGTATCACTTTTACTGAATCATGACGCGATCGAATTCGCTTACGTTTATCTGTTGAGAGTTGTTTTCTCTACTTTCTGTTCGAACACTCTATAAACAAATTGATCTATGTTTAGGTGAGAAAAGAGTTGACCAATGTCGACGGGAAGAAAGGGACATAACTCGTCCATCCTAACCACAGTTACAGTTATACACAAGTCAGAGGGAAGCTATTCCCGAAAACACTTTAGAAACTTAAGCAATATCATTATATAGTCAGTGTCGATTTGAATCTACATAGATGACACAAGTCAATTTTTTTGGTATTTTTTCTAAGATTGAATTTTAATTAAATAACACATACGTAGGTATGAACATTTTTGTACATATGTATACTGCGAAAATACATTTTACATGGTTTTAGAAAAATTGCTTAGAGTTCTTAACAAATGTGACTCTTACTTTCGGTTTCCTTTTATAATGGTCCTCTCTCTGCTTTGTTATGATAAATACATACATAAAGAAGAGTCCGAATGGTAATGAAGTGATTCCTCCAAAAAGAGACAATCCGAACGCCCAGCTGAGTGATCCACCGACAGAATTATCTGCCGATAGTAAGATAGCTCCCAGCACTGTTGAAACACCTGTAAATGAAATGTGAAAACTGAAATACACCTTTTGACAAGTTTTTGTACAAAATACTTATAGCTCAGGAAACAATTTGGTATTTCACGTATAAAACCAGAGAAACTTCACTAGAAAAACAAAAACACAAAAAATTAACGCCTGGCACCTTTATCGTATCTGTGTAATGTTGGGCTCTAAGCGTCACCACATAATAGGGAAAGCCAGATAAGACTTTTATAAGGCAGAAACAAACTTGAATTAATTATGTCATAACTCCTATCTACTTAATTACTTTTTTGTATTTAAAATTTGAAGTGCAAAATGGAAAGTTATTTGACTTGATAATGTCAACTTAATTCCAGAGTTATAACCATGAAACAGAAAATGATAAAACCAAACGTACAGAACCCTGACTAAGAGCAGCGAGAATAAATAGAGAGAAATATTCCTGTCAAAGTCAAATAAATGGTTCCAGTCCTAGGAAACCTGGGAACCTTGTTTACAATAAATGGTTCCAGTCCTAGGAAACCAGGGAACCTTGTTTACAATAAATGGTTCCAGTCCTAAAACATCCTGGTCTTCGTGGGTATTTTTACTGTTTCTTTTCTGTGTACCATTTTCGTATGTCAGGTCTAGCATTATGAGGACTTTGGCAACATATTAAAATAACAATCAATTTGACACATTTGTGGTGGAAGTAGAAAATATATTGCCTATGTCTTCACTTTTACACACACTGTTGATGGTTTTGCGTTCTTCAATATCGTTTAATGTTATATGGTTTATCTTAATTCACGTATTTTTGCCCCATATCGAGATTTTTTGTCGATTATTAGGTTGCAGTATTAACTAGAGTTGTCTCCCTTGCTCTATGATACATCATGTAACTTTGTCGATGAACCGGCTCGTACCACAGGGACTTGGCACGAATTGTCGAACCATATATATGTATGGACCGTGCGTCGGAAATTCGTGCCAAATTCCTGTGTCTCGTACAATGTAGTTGTCATACGACTTTACACTTCATAAGAAACTCCTTTAAAAATGTGGTGCGCGTCCGTGGATGATAGGTACAATTGAAACTTTATGTTACAAATTATGAAAAAAACATGTTCACTCCAGTTGTGAAAAACACACACGTGATCAGCACATTCTCATGCTGATTACGGGTTAGATACAGTATTAAAAAAACTACATCATACAGTTTTTTCCACGACTAGGTGTCTGATCTCTCATTTAAAATAAGTGATGATTGTTACGTGGAATGTGGGTGTTTTTCTTTAATTACATGTAACATATCTCAACTGTATGTTTTCTGCTGACTTTAAAATTTAGTTTAGTGTTTGAGATTTAAACATCAGTAGAGGTTTAGATGACTTATTATGCATATGGAATTTGTAATACGCTTTATAACGTAATATTCTGTATTTATCATATGTATGTGTTCAAGAAAACCGATACAATCGATCTTCTTATTATGGGCTTTGCTGAAAGGTTTTACAATATCCGTAGACAACTGTTTAGCCAAATTCAACTTTCGACCATAATAGTTATGTGTCACTGTCCACTTGGCGCTTAATGTTACAGTGGTGTTAAAGCGGTTTTTTTTTTGACGCCAACGAAATTGGAAATAAAAATTGGTCGAAGAATTACTAGATTGAGCATCACCGGAAGTCTCCCTTTCATCAATGGACATGTATGTTTGATCGTGCTCGTGCATATCGAGTGGTCAGTGTTTGATGTCCATTTGGTCAAGAGAAACTTGAGTGGTCATCAGTGAGAACAGACGTTGGTAAGTGCACTTGCAGGCATGTGCAATTTACCCTGCTCTCTACTTGTATGTTGAGGCCAAGCACATCGATATAAACGTTTTTGTTCAGAGGAAATACATAGCCATGTTCACAGAACCGTAATTGATACAAGATATGCATATACGGTTGCTCTATTTTATTAAATTGTTCATTGTCTGAATTTATTGACAAAAAGTTAATTTGCCGTCATGGCCACGTTTCTTAGAACGGGTTAAATGGTTTAAAAACACCTCGGAGGCTGTTAGAAATTAACTTTGCTCGTCTTTGTATACACATGTACCGTTCTGAATCCCATTTAGCTTGACCAATGGTCAGATTGCAGGTGGGAGGTAATTAAACATGCATTATGACTACTTACTGGACACTAGAAACAGAGATCCGATAAACACTGCCATGTTTTTATGGAACCTTTTGCTGTCGTGGAAAGCAAAAATAATGACTCCGGTTTCTGCGCATGTCTGAAATATGAAGGCCAGTAGCTCCAATGCTTGTGCCGCTCTGAAAGTATCTACAAAAAAAAATATATATGAAAATATAATGACGCGAAGATTAGAAATTTGAATTTAACTACCTGCCTGCTACACATCTAGCTGTAAAAAATCGAGTCATCTCATTTATATAGATGTTATACAGGTGCCGTCTGTGACAAGGGAGACAGAATATATGATTTATAGGATACAAATGTACTATGTTCATATCATTCGGAATGTCTCTTCCTGTCTCTTCTAAATTACATTCGTGGTTATATATTCATATGTCATACCTGTCAGACTTCCGGAATCCCATGTGACACACGCTGTGGGACCGGAAGTGGTGGTGCTGCATTCAGACCATACTCCATAGAAGTAGCCAACAGTTACCAGATTGGACCCACGATCATACGTAATCCAGTAAGGTGCTACCATCCCAAGAGACTGCAGAAAGTAACAGACGAAAGACAGAAACACACAAACGGCAAGACATCTTCGGTCAGTTACGTCAAAACTTGAACATTTGTTCTTAAGTGATTCCGTGATACCCATTCCGGAAGTTTAAAATGTCAAAAACTTAGTTAAACGAATCGCTGGTTGTAAAGTCCCACATTTGTTAGACAGTCGTGTAGTATTGTATGAAATATTAATGATTTCTTTAAAGGGACACATTCCCTTGTAAAAGGACCGTTAACATTGAGAACTTGTCCTATAATCCAGATTAACTGTCTCGATTATGGCTCTTTAACCGAACCAGCCATTTAAGATTTAGCGTGTTAATCGTGGTATAAGAATCTCCTAATATAATCCTATATAAATATGTATATGTCTGTGTACTTACGCACCTGATGTTGGAAAAGAAAAAGCATTAATAAATTAATCGGATAAATGAATTCTTTGTATGGATATTTTCTAACGATTTAAGTAGATAATTATCGTTTATTTGTGTAACTTTACTGTTATAAACTTCCGGACACCTTTAAAAAGAACATATCACCAATATTGACATTTAAAAAAATTCTTTCAAGAAA